TATATATATATATATCGGAATAGCGGGAAATGGAATAAAGAGGAGGATAATCGGAAAGCACTTACCGCCAATTCCTCCTCGATCGAGAGCTGCGATCTTGCGTCCAAGTGCCTGGAATGCCTCAATCTCGTTGCATCGGCTGAAACGCAAAGGTAAAAAGAGAATGTAGAAAATTCGTTGGAATGTCTTTCACGCCGGCGTGTACGGGCACCCGCGATCGTATTTTTTCCACGATTTCGCTCTTTTGCTCTCTTTTCTCTCTTTTTCTCTTCTCTGGTAAAGGTACGCGCGTGAACGCGGCCCCGTAAAAGCTTTCGATTCGACGCGGTAACACGCGCCACCCCGACCGCGAGAAGGTATCGCGAGAGAGGGATGAATAATCGAGAGAAAAAACGAAACGGAAGCGAAATCGACGCCGCTTTGCCTCGAAACCGTCTAATCGTTATTTCAGCTGCCACCACGCCCTTTATCGCCCTCTAACCGGTTCCCTTTTCTTTTTCCTTTCTTCTCCCTTCGCTCTCTCGCCACCGCGTCCTCGCGATATGCCTGCCGTCTTTTTAAGTACTTCCGGCATCGCAATCATCGCCCTCGACTACACGTCTAGCGAAGCCTTCGAGCGAAATGAACGGATTCGAGGGATCGACGATCGATAGGATAATCGATACGCGAGGAGTTTGGGGTTCGCGGTCGATATCGGAAAGTTCGGAAACGAAGGGTCGCGACAGGGTGGAACGAACGTGCACGAGTATATAACCGGCTAAAGCGAAAGAGTAACCGGCACGCTAACCTCCCTTGGTAGCCCTCTTCGTACTATGCACGAGTTAACCTACATTTCGATCGAGTCGGCGGGTCAGTTCGCGGCACGAGGCTTCGCTTTAAGCGAACACGCGTTCGCCGTTTCTTCGCGTCTCTTCGCGTCTCTTCGCGTCTCTTCGCGTCCACTAATTTCTCTCGCCGAGCAAATTTCCCAACGTCGGAGGAGCAAGAAGACGACGGCGATGACGTCGAGGCTGCTCCGACACGTCCAAACCGTTTTCGGTTGCTTCGCTCGCACCGTTTCGACACCTCCTGATTCTGCGCGATAATGTACTTCATTCGATTATTACTCCGCTTCCATCGTGCTCGAGATACGTTCAGGACACGTAATCGGCCGCGTCTTTCGCATCTTGCCGTCGACGAGAACGACGCCCGATGCAATTCACCGAGTCTCTGTACTTTTTGGAGAAAACGGAAAGAGCGCGTTCGTTCTTACCACTCGTCACTCGCCATGGACAACGTCTCGCTTCGAGCTGACGGATGTAGGCGAGGAATTAAATGGCGCGCACGGTACGAGGAGAAAAGCGGAAGGACCATCGTCGCCGTCGTCGTCGTCGTCGTCGTCGCCGTCGTCGTCGTCGTCGTCGTCGTCGTCGCCGTCGTCGTCGTCGCCGTCGTCGTCGTCGTCGTCGTCGTCGTCATCGTCGTCGTCGACATCGTTCGTTTCTCGTTCCCGGTTTAGCGGTTATTCGGGTTCACCGATTCATCGGTATCTCGGATTTCCTGCGTCTCGATTTTCCGAACAACGGATAAGAGGGGAGGGACAGGGGGTCTGTAGAGAGAATCCTTTGGAGACGTAATCATGCAAGGGAGTTTAATTGCTTTTAATCGAAGCAACGGCTTCGATCTCGTTCGCTCGATGCGTTCTTCGTTGTTCGGGTTTTATCCGAGAGAAATGTGACGATGGTTGGTGGACGAATTCGTCGTTATTCGCCAACATCCAACGACCGGCAACGTTTCACCGCGAATGCATTTTCTATCGGGATAATTACCGACGACGGTACGCGCGCGAGTCCGCCGGTGATTTCATTTTCGAGATTAACGGACCGTGCTACCGATCATCGTGCTCGTCGATTAAATTTTCATTAACCAAACGCAGACCCGACCGAGCGTATTCGTTTTCGAAACGAACGGGAACACGCGTAAATACGCGCTCGCGTGCAACTAGGAAAGAAACAGTTTTGGAAAATATGTCGCTTTTTCGACCCTATTGACGGAATTCTATAAACGGAGCTATTTACGCCGCATTAACGCGCGACGACATCGATCGATCCATCGAACAATCGAACGCATCGCGTCTATACTTTCGGAAAGATCGTCGTCGGAAAAAGGCGGAAAATTTACCGTCTCCCTTCGCTTCGGAACGACGCGTCGAGAGAAAAGTTCCTTCAGTCTTTCGACCCTCGTGGCTCGCGTACGCGTTCGACTTTGTTTTCGACACAACTTTTCTATCGTTTCCGTCGTTTTTACCTTGTCTGTCGTTGATTACCCGAGAAACCGATGACGTCAAAGGGAGTACGAAATGACCGCGCGCTATTATCGTTGGAAAACAGTCGCTTCCGCTTCTTTTCGCGACTCGGATCGATCGATTTCCGAAAACCCGACGTAACCGAGAGACGTATTCGCGTGCAACTGCTGTTCGTGCAACTGATCAACGAAACGGCGCATACTACGCGCGATCGATTTCCAGTCATGGTCGTTGGAACTGGACGATTGCGAAAAACGGCGTCGCGACGTCGTAAATCTGCGACGAGCATCGCGCGTCGGGTATATCGAACTCGCGTCCAAAAATTTGTTCCCCGTTCGGGAATGGAGAAAAACGGGACACCTGTTGCCGAAAGGAAAAGAACGACCAGTTAACCACGACACCGTCCACGACTTTTCGTCCTCGCTTCCTCTTTCTTTCCGATCCCGGATGAATTCCTCGACGATGACGACGAGCAATCGCGGTCGGTAATTGAAGACAAACGGTGCTCGATCGACGCGCGTTCGCAGAGAGATTTGCATGCAGCGAGGCCGCCGATTATCGGCCGTTTCGCGAGCTGGCGTCGCGTCGCGGAATATCGCGTATCGCGGAAGGCGCCCGCGGGTGCGAGCGGGTGCGAGCGAGCGGGAGCGGACTCACCCTATCGAACGATATCGGGACGCCGTTCAAAGGCAGACACAATTGCGTCAAAGAGCCTCTATTGTCGCGATAGCCAATTTTAGCTCGACGTCGATAACGCGTTCGTTCCGATCGCGTTGCTAACGTACCCACACCCTCGCTTTACCTGCGATCGCGAGTCGACCGATCGATACAGAATCGAGACTATCGTCGCGAACAACGCGATGCATCCGATTTCCGCCTTGGAATTAGCGACCACTCGTCGCGAACCGTTTTCGCAAAGATATCATCATCACGGTCGTCGTCATCGTCGGCGTCATCGTCGACATCATCGTCGGCGTCGTCGTCATTCAGGGAAATGGATCGCTCGCACTGTCCCTCCGCTCTGTCCGTTCATCGATTCGCTCGCCCAATCATCCCCTCGTAATTTCTGATCGAACCTCTCTGCGAGAGGGGCATACGTCGGACGACGTTGTTCGTCGAGATCGACGCGCGTCCGCCGTTTAACGAACCGAATTCCACCAATCGTAACTCTCGGTCGACGTTTTCCGTTTTGCGAGCCGGTAACGCGCGTTTACTGCAGCGAAACGAAACTGCGGAAACGCGGGACCTCTCGACCACGGCTGAGAAAACTTTACCGATGATGATATTTCACGACCATTTCTCGAGGATCATCCAATAACTCTGGCGTGCGAATATCCGATAACGAACAACGGACTTATTCTTGGAAAGTCGTGATTTATCTTCGAATCATATCTCCCTCTTCGAACGCGTCTCGGGACCCGGCCCGCTCTTTTCGTCTACGACATCTTAATCGTCGTCGTCATTGTCATTGTCGCACGCCTCGACCTGAGGGCAATTTTTTTTCATTCGCCCCAAAACGTCGCGTGTCCCTGATATACCGTCGCGTTTCGTTGGGTCGTTAACGGAACCGCACCTATCCACGGCTAATCCTCCGAGAGTACGATACACACCCTTTCCGTATCTCTCGCCACTGCCACCACCGCCGACACAGCCGCTATCGCGTTCTTCTTCCGGCGAAACCCAAGGGAAAGGACTGATTCGGTGGTCGCGCGACGTCCGCGAGATCGAAGCTCCGATTTTTCTCGTTTTACCCAGTTTACGGGCAACGAACTCACCATTCGGATTCTCCGCGACGGATTACCGGTCGGGTTTAACTCGCGCTAAGTAGCTTAGGTTCTTTATCTCCGTTGACTCCCATATCCTGTGGGCACGGGGGAGGTGCAACACCGGGAAACGCATACGAACCGGTTCGATATCGGATTGGATAGATAGGACGTCGTCGAACGCGAGGTTCGATCGTCTCTAACGAAATAATCCGTCGACGAATCTTTGCCGACTCGCGCGTGTCGATCTTTGCGAACGAACTACGCGGCGTGGTAAACTCGTCGATTCGTTTCCATCGTTCGAGTATTTCACGACGATCGTAAAGAATAAGCGGTGGTCGCTTATGCGTGGAGAAGCTGACGGAACTATGCGATAAAACGCGCGGGCGAGAAAGAAACGGGAGCAAACGGAACGAGGTTAAAAGGTCGACGACGACGACGACGACGACGTCGCCTTGGTTGGTTGGCAGAAATTCCTAGGCTCGTTAAAGCCTCGACGCAGACCAGAATCGCGGTTAATCCGCGAAATCGAGCGAAGAATCTCGCAAGCCGGCGCGAACTCGATCGTATCGTGACGCTGGCCGACGCTGGCGACGCTTGGTCACGACACGTCGAGACGGAGCGGAGAGGAGGCGCGATCGCGCTGGGAAAAACGTTGGCACGGGTGCAACGACGGCTTAATCCTTGTCACGGGGAGAAAAGAAAAGGTAAATGGCTTGCAACAAAGGTTTAATAACGCGACATAGAGCATTCCTTTTGCGTTTCCCGGGTCTGGCCAAAGCTAGATCAGCCACGTCGGAGGGTAACATTTTCATCGAGCTTTTACAGTTGGTCGTTGCATATCGTATTACGTTTCTCGGTTCTATTCTGAAAACCCGGAGACGAGAGAAACGCCGGGCGCGCGAAAAAAGGACGCCGTCGACTTTAGCCAACGAGATTAAACTACGAACGACCGGTGTGTATCGAGCAACCGTATATTTTTTACAATTGTCCGCGTTTTCTCGTGTCCGGCTAAGAATTTTAATCTTTTCGCTCGTCCGACGACCGTCACGGCCGCGGTGATCACGATCGCGCGTCTACGAAACGGTGGTG